CTTAGCCCATTCCTGAGAACAGACTTTCACATCATCAGCCTGAAGTCAAAAGCTATGGAATGACGAGCCATAGGAACAGGCTCCTACTTTCTATTTCTCTTTATGCATTTTCTCCACATGTTAGTTTTAACTCTTCCTTCTCTGTCTGTACTAAAAACCATTGTGGCTTTTTCCAGATGAAGGAGAAAGATTTTAATGTTCTTAACTCTATGGAAGAATAGGTTAGCTATTCTGGCAGGTAAGAGATTGTCTTGAACTTTCAATAACAATTTTTTTTAACTCAGCCCAGCAGTCTTCAGTGAAGGAGTTTAATTATGCTGGTTAACTAAGGACTGTCAAAATTCTTTTGTTAATTAAATCAGGGTAGTAATTCTGTTAGCTATATGTATTGATCTGCTCCCTTTGAAATAGATTATTACTTTCTCCTTTATTCCCATTTGCCTTTGTCTTTTACTCTACTGTATGCTGTTTAAGGTTTAATTCTCAGTAGCACCTTAGCCTTTTTTCTACCTGTATCTCCTGTTCAGTGACTTGCTTCCATGATGTCTCAAAGCATTCTCTAAGGGAGTCTTGTCCAGTGCCTCCCATGTTCTGCCTGAAACTGCCTTTCTGGATGCTCTGACTTCTACTCTCTACAGCAATTTCAGTGATCAGAAATCTATTGACAATACAAACCTCCTTTCCTTCTAACCTCCTGCTAAGTACTCTGCTTTCATTTTAGGCTTAAATTTTCCAGAATCATTTCTTGCAATCCTTTTCCGTTGTCTTCTAATGGTAGTTTTGCCGTCTTTCTGGTCTCGTATAGGAGATCTGATGAAGCGATTACTTGCATTGGAAGGGTATATCTGAATGCAGAAAAGTATTAATACTTTTCTGAAAATGTTTTTCTTTCAGACCTTTATTTTCTTTAAAACTTAGCCCATTCCTGAGAACAGACTTTCACAGATGTGTTTTAGATTGCAATGGGTGTGAACAAATTCCTGCAGAGAAGTTAAACAATAATGTCTATTTACATCTAAAATTTTTCTCTTTTGTGCAAACAAAGTATTATACTATATACTGTCAAAGTCATTACTATCTTGACCTGTTACTTGTGGTTTTAATGTTCAAGAAGTATGTAACAAAATACGTTTTTACTTTTTCCATCATCTTCTTGACATAACTTACTCCAAAAGCTAGTAATGTCTAAGGCTGTTTTGCAGACATAAGCCATATTATCTTCAAGACTTTTATTTTCTTTGCCCTTCAAGAGAAGGAAGTCACTCAGTAAAACTATTAAGAAATTAAATGTGTGATATCTCACTTAGAGTTATTAAAACAAGTTTAATAAGATTGAAGAAGTTATGCATGTGAATGGTAGTATCTACATTTATGCTTCATAGGGTGAAATTATTTGAGCATTGTTTGTTCTTGGAGTTGCAGGCCAAAATTGATATCAGGTGTATTATGGAAGAAATTATCTCTTCCAGTTTGAATTTCATGCATTTCTTTTAAACAGTGAGGGAAAACAAGTTTCTTCTCAGGCTTTCTGTGTAAAGCATTCAGTGGGAGACACTATTCTCTCTAGATTAATCCTCAGTCTGTCCTGATATGATTCCTTCCACAAGTCAGTGTAGGAGAGCTTACAGATCTTGTCTGTTAAATCATTTAATAATGGGACATTTCCTGTTTACATGAGGGGGTAAAGTAGTGACCACCAAAAGGAAGGATGAGAACCCAGGAACTCCATCTGTGGATGTTGTAGTCTGGCTTTTTCCTTGATCCCTGGAGTCTTACAGTGAGTAGTTTGAGGCTTCAGCAAAAAGGGCCTCTCCCACTGTCCTGGAAAGTGGCCTAAGAGTTCAAGTCCTAGCAGGTTTAGCTAGACTTAAGCTCCGGATCTCCCATTTCTAGACAGGCGTGCTGTAAGACAGTGTAAGGCTATGGGGAGAAAGAAGGCTGCCACTACCAATTAGTACCTGCCTCTGAATAGATAAGTCTTCCATATTCTGGTTCAAGGTGACACTTACTCATGTATACGTGTAAAGTATATATACTGACTAGCTCCCAGATTTTCTTTGCTCAGCACAGAGGAGTACGGGATTCCTCTGTACAGACAGTGCTTAATCTGCATTGTGCAGGGAAGAAACCCCATATGTAGGCTTTACAAATTCTCATTTAGAGGCTTTAAACAGCATTTTTCAGCTTTTGAAGTGTCTAAATGTAGGTCAGAATGTGACTTTTTGTCTTTCACGCTTCTACACCTTTACTGTATTTTGTATATGTTTGATGTGTATTTACCAAAACCAATTCCCCACCTTCTTTTCATTTCTTCCCCCTCAAGTGGCGAGTAAGAAAAGAAGCTATGATGGGTCTTGCCCAGCTATACAAGAAATACTGTCTTCATGCCGAGGCTGGAAAAGATGCTGCAGAGAAAGTGAGCTGGATAAAGGATAAACTTTTGCACATATATTATCAAAATAGCATTGATGACAAGTGAGTTAACCTAAGCCTTCCTAATTTTAATTGTATAGTGATAAGAGATACTCTGAAAATATGTGCTTATCCTGAGAAAGCTATTATATCACATTCTGTATTTGTGGTTTTAAGTATGATATATTTAATTAATAATCATTAAGACATGTACTAAGATATTCAGGATGGTCGCGTTATCTGTTCCTATATTCATCCTCTTTACGAATGGAACTAGATCCGTGATGATAGTAGATTGTCATTAACTAACCACTGCACAGGAAAAAAAAATCAACAGATTTTGTATTTGCTATACCCAGTTTGTGTTTGCCTTGCTTCTTTCCAGAGGCTAGCATGTTAAAATCTGTGATCTGTGAGTGCCGTGCATATATGCACTACGGTACACGCACAAACATCTCCTTTTGGTATATTGTGTAGAAATGGACCCTTCAGGTAGAAGAAAAGCTGAAGAAATATCAGGAGTGCTTCCACTGTTGTCTAGTCATCTCTGTTTTGTCACTCAATCCCTATAATTTTTGAAATACCATTTTGGCTTAGAGAAAAGTATTTTGGCCAATGTTTTGGAAGATAGTTTTAAACTCTTACTGTTAAATTCTTTGTCTTTTGCAAGGAAAGCCAAACTATGAGATCACATAAGATAGAATTTCAGCCTAGATTTTTAATACAGCAGGCTCAGAAATCAGCCATTTCTTTGTAGTGTTTCTTAGCATCTTGCTTCTACAGTGTGCTCCTGCAGTGTGTTTTTGTGATGTTAGTGGCTAGTCTGAATGGGCCAATGGCCTCCTTCAGTTGCCAGTTATGACAGCGAGTTCTTAGTGCTGCAGTGGTGAAGGCTCTCATTTGTTCATCTGGCTGATCGTAAGTGGGCCAGAGTTACGTATTTGATTAGTTATGAGATTGTACACACAGAATTTACAGTGAAAGTCTGCTGAGGTAGAAGTATCAAATAGTGAAGAATTAGGAAATCTCCACACAGTTCATATAAAGCTAATTCTGCATAGGTATCTGCATCAAATATGCTTTAATTTGCATTGAGAGGTTCATTTGTGGTTTTTCCTACCATGTTCATGTCTCACTGTCAGAACATAGGTTTGATGGTGAGCAGGGAATGAATCAAAGTTCCATAGTGGATGGGACAGATGTTTTCAATATTCCCGCTCATGGAAAATGCAGAATAC